GTGATTGTTTGATGTTATGTCTTTGATATAACCTTTAATAAAGTCTGTTTTAAAAAAGCAAATCAGCCTTGTTCATGCAACTGAACTGTAAAGTTGCTTTCGTCACGTTTTATCTTCTAGTGTATAGTGTGCTGAGATGTGGTAACCAAAAAAACGACCTTCTCGTGGACTGAATCAGGTGTTAGCCTCATCCCTCAGGAGGAGGATGAGGGAGGGGAGAAAGATGAGGAAGAGGAGGGGAAAGGAGGGAACAACAGCTTGTCTGGAGTTAAAATGATTATTTAGCTGGCAAAATGGTACTTATGTTTATATTTTTTCAGGGCAAGTCTAACCAAAACAAAGAAAATACAGCAGTGAGTATGTGGCGCTGCACTTCACCTGTGTGGGAACTGAAAATGCGCAGCTACAGCTCTGTGTTGTTTGCTCAGGGGTCTTTACAAATGAAGCTGTGAAACCCAACAGTTTACACCATCAGTCAGAGACTAAACACGGAATATGTATCTAATCCTGTTGAACCAGAGCTCCTCAGATTTCTTCTCTTCAGCCTTCAGCTTCTCATTAGATGAGTCAGAAAAAGATGCAATCTGATCACAGAAACCTTTTGGTCGTTTGTGTGGCTGCGAGTTGCAAAAGTTTGGGAACACTTGATGCAGAAAAAGGGACTGTTTTATTCTGGTTTTGTTGATATTCAGTAATAATTCAGTTTCCAGTTATCTCAGACAGAGGCGTCGCAGTTGGCTGGTCTCAACAGCAATTTCTGAGTCCACTTTCCCTCAAGACCAAGTTCAAATGATGTTGAGACCGAGAGGAGGCCGAGACACGAGTACTACACTAATACACAGAGAAATTATAAAGGAGGAGACTGGTCACTCACTGGAATATGAATGGGAAAGCTTGTAACGCTCAACATGGTGTCTGTTTACAGAGCAAGTCCTGCCTTTTAGTCAGCTCGCTGGTTACGCTGTGAGCAGGGAAAGTGACCCCCTCGTTGTGGAGATCTGAGCAAGCACAGTAGCCACAACTACCCCAAAAAAGACGATTTTATGCGTCACTATTTATGAGGTTTTTGTCAGACTTTAACAGTGAAATTCATATGTTTTTGAAACGGTAATTTGGCCTTTCAGTTTCAAGTATTTTGGTCTCTCCTCTTTCAAAGAGACAGGAGTCTGGGCTTGTATGGCTGGAAATAAATGCCCAGCGGCGTTGCCAAGATGGCCATCGAGTGGACAAACTTTCCCATAAGGACTTGCTGTAACGTTACCTGCTGTACTGTCTAATGGCTATGAATCTCAGTATTTAAGAACTCCACAGAGCCTTGCATAAATCCCTGTTTTTGACAATAAAAACCTGGCTAAGCATGTTATTCACGGCTTTAATTCTCTTAAAAGATTAGAAGTGTTTTTTTAATCAGCAGGATTTCAGTGGTGATGTATGCATATGCAACAGGTCAGAGTTAATGGACTAATTTACAGACAGAATTCAGGCTTCTACTGTTTTCAGCTATGCAACATACTTTTGTCCATGTTCATGGATAACAGGATGTCATACAGTGTCAGAAACTTTGGGGAACGCTAACTGGTGTGCATAAACTTCCACTTCTTGTTAGCATTAGCCACACAGCTCCAGTGAAACTTCACCAAATGTGAGTTTGCGTGTGGCTGTTGTTCCAGCATGCCATGATAGGCCGAGCTCACAGACAGCAAGAGCAACATGATTTTTCTTTATAAACAGAAGCGTCCAAACACGCAACACGAATACTGATTAGGGTATTAAAGAATTAGCTGTTCAGCATTTTAATAAATTAAATCAACTTTTATTTGCTGTCCTGAGGTGGACATGACGCTGAGGACAGCTGTTAAGAATGGAGAGCATCTCTTGCGTTGATATATTACACAGTCAGTTGTGGCAATAAGTCTATCTATTTAATTGAATTTATTTTTAATCAGCATACTTCCAAAGATGTCGAAAATTCTGAAATTAAATCATTGTTAACCTCCCTAATTAAAGCTTTAATCACAGTAATTTACAGGAAGTAAAAAACATAGGCACATGCTTCTTTGGTTGCCAAACTGGGGTTGTCACAGATGGAAAGTCAAGGCTTAAATGACGTAGTGTGTGCTTGGCTTAAAGGCGAACTCCACCGATTTTTCAAAATGTCTGCATAATTGAGATGTTTGAGATGTAAACAAAGTCATTCAGAGTGGTTTGATGTGAAATGGTTCATCGCAAGAGAAACCTACCAACTTACAGTGTTTTTCTTACAGTGGTGGTGATAGAAACCAGGGCCATATTACAGAAAAATCTTAAGTCTGAGATCATGTCTTAGCTGCTTTGTTGTCATGGCAACTTCAGTTAGGACTGAAGTTAGGACAGAAGCTATTACAGAACAACAGTTCTTAAGTCTATGATCTTCTCTTATTTCCAGATAAGAAAACGGTTTTACAGAAACATCTTAAGTTGCCAAAATATCCTAAATATGTTTATAAATAAGTATGTTAAGACAACAACCCCAGAGCATCTTAACTTCCGTTTTAACCGTCTGTTTCTGTTGTTTTATGCAGTGAAAGGCAGCACATTTCACTGTAAGTAGCATAACGACGCTACATTTATCTACATTGAAAACAGTGCTTTGACTTTGACAGCATTTAAAAGCTCCAGACGCTGCAGAGACGATCTTCACCGTCCCTCTTATTACCTTCGTGTGTTAATGTTGATGATGAAATATAACAGTGATGATGGTGAATAATGAGGAGGCGGAGATGAACATGTGTCTGTTTATTAGCAGGAGTAATGTTAGCACGCTCGGCTAAAGCGTTTGGGAAATGGAGACTGAAACGGCGATGCTCTGATAAACAGCACAAAGCGCCGACACAATATTCTTAACTTTCAGTTTATCGCGCTTTAGTTTTATTTGGCCTTGTTTACTTCAGTAACAGTAGCTAACGTTAGCTGTTTGGCTAACTAACTTGATTACGTGTTTACGTTTCAGCTGTGCACGAATAGTCGGTTGCTAGGTAACAGACACGACTGTTGATTGTCGAATTCAATCGAGTAAGTTGAGGTTTCCTAACTTGAGATAAGAAAAGATGCTGTAAGATAAGATTCTTAAATTAGGATAAGTTTTGCTTCTGTAACACAAATTTGTGAAAAATCTTATCTTGACCTGTCAGAACTTAAGTTAAGACAAAAAGATACAAAGTTTCTGTAATACGGCCCCGGGGCTCACAATGACTACAACAAATATAGCCATTTTATTTACTGTCCAAAAGAATCAGTGAACCCACACGTGTCTTCTGAGTTTTATATGCAATATTGATAATGGCAAAATAGTGGCAAATTCAAATCATACATTTTTTGGCTACTACTTTGCCTTACGACACCCTACATTCTTTATTTTTTATTGTAGCTTTTAAGTACATGTATGTTACATTTCCAAAGTTTCTAGGTCGTATGGAAGTTCCACTTGTAACCACAAAGAACGATCAGGAGGGGAAGGGGCTGCCGACGCCCCGGCTGTTGCTGCACAAGGCCCCTACAGGAGGTCAGATTCTCCCCACTGACCTCTAGCCTTTTATTCATCAGGCCTGACACTTTGATTACACTCAGATAAAACTCTACTCAGCCAGTGAGTCCTAAAACTCCATTGAGTTACTTGAGCTGAGCCTCTGACTGATTTCAGTTTCACTAGAGGGCGCCAAAGCTTGTTTTTAAACCACACACAGTCTTCTGAACATTTGGACTGTCATTGTTAAAATAACAAGCACAAATTCAATATAAAGCCCATGTGTCAAACACAAGGCCCATGGGCCAAGTCAGGCCTGTGAAATTATTTAATTATTATTATTATTATTAATTAATTATTATTATTAATATTAGCCCATTTTACCATGAGCTGCACTACAATCCCCAGCATGCACTGCAATATGATGTGCATCTATGGGACAGCACCATAAAAAGAAAAGACGCCAGGTGTCTAGTTTAAGCAAACAGGCAGGTTTAAAAACCTACTGTACACTGGGGGCATTTAAAGAGGTTTAACAGTGATTTGTAGCCTAACGTAGCCCACTGTTTTATACAAAGCCTCTTATTTTATATAGAACGATATGTTTTCATTAAAATGGTCAAGTATTCAGAGCCTAGTTTTTGCTGTTGCAGTTTCAGCGTATTTTAAATATCCAATGGCCAGTTTGGGTCAAAATTGAAACAAAAACACAACCGGCCCACAGATTTGCTGACATTTTTTAATATGGCCCCTTTAGTGGAGGGGTTTGACACCCCTACTATAAAGTGATGCAAACCACACTGTTCATCTGAAAGACTGATGAAGTGCAAGTATGACCGTCTTTGGTTTAGACAGAAGGGTGAGCAAGACAGAAGGACACAAGTAGGTCCTAACTCTCAATTCTGGTTTTCACAAGCTTCCATGAAATTCAGTTCTGTGCACAAACAGTCTAAGCTTTAATAAATGTGTTGTGCAGCTAAGCTGTAAACATTTGTCTCTGTTTGGAGTCTCTGAAAAACTATTGTTTGAAGGGCCATGTAGCCCTAACACTTCGCCCTACCCCTCTATTTCAATAACAATCGGGACACTCAACCCTTAGGCGTGAATGCCCAAAAAGGAAGAGTAAGGGCTCAGTGGTAGGGGTGAGGGGTGAAATGGGATTGGGCCCAAGTCATTCATCACCAAGTCTGTGCAACATTAATGGAGACCTGAATGCAAGTTTTGGAGGATGTATTTACAAAAAAAGATTTGGGTGATTATTGACTTCTAGTGTTAGCAACATTAGCCTTATAGCTCCAGTGCTAAATTTGGATATCAAACATGTCTTGACTGATCAATGGCATCTGCAGTAGGTGGAAAATTATATTTTTTGCCAAATTTTTACTCTAAAGTGACAGTGTGTGGAACATGTTTGATTTCAGTAGTTTGAGGAGCATTTTAACTAGTACCCTGACAAACACGCACACTTGAATGCTTTCATCATTAATTTCTCAACACAGAAAGAATGATATATGACATTGTAGGTCACAACTGGATTAAGAGGAAGTGGGTCAGGGTTTCATAGAAGGTCATGTTAAACAGTGTCATGATGGACCAATAGAGGACCAGCATTCAGGCTGGAAGCACCGCCCCTCGGCTGTGGCCAGGTAAACAGTGCCTCGACTCACTCTGCAACAGAAAGAAACCAAACTAAAACTTATATTCGATTGTACATATAATTGAAGAGATGCACCAAAATGAAAATTTCTGACTGAAAACAAAACCGAAGCTCACGACATGGTCAAGCGAAAACTGAAACCAAAAGAAAAGGGATGTTCATACATTATTTTCTATTCTATTTATGCTTTTGAATCAACGTAATAATGCAGAAGATGCTTCAAAGCTTCTAACTGCCATGTTGGGAAAGAGAACTGAGAGAACTAGAGGACTAATTTAATTTTAAACAGCTTGCTAAATAATATTAAAAATATTAAATGTTGTAAAATTATGAAAATATAAGACTTAGTGGTTTCCTAAAGGCATCTGAATTCCAGAGTGCCTCTGCTATAAAAATGGAAAACACCTAGTTTATAATAAATAAAGAACATGGAGGTGGCTTTGGAACTCCTGCCCAGCAGTGTCAAGTTTCTCCAGCAGGGGAGCTATCAGCACCCAGATCACTTCAGTGTTCGCCATTTAAAGAGAAGAAAGAGCCATAAACCTCAGGAGGAACTAACGAACGCATGTGTTTGCAGTAACAACGATCGAATCAGTGGTGGAAATAGTTTATTACCAAAAGATATTAAGTTAATCAGTATCATTTATTGTTAATTTCCTTAAATAACTTTAATACACTTTTTAGCATTAACTGAAAGATCATAGAGTGCAGCTGCTGTGTTTAAATGTTACTAGTGATCTGCTGCTTGAGCATAACTCTGCAGACTGGTGCAGGAGAGCGAAGAAAGTGTGTTTAATGACTATTTCTTATTTTCATCTTATTATTATTATAATCCAGACTGTTTATTACATTTTAACATATTTAATTTGCTTTTTTCAGTCAAAACTTTCGGCTTTTTTTTTCATCAATGGTCCGTTTCTGACCACAGAGCTGCTTTTGTATGGATATTTTTGAGGGGGGGCCACTCTCAACTTAGCAGTAATACTAACCCAGCAACACTGCTGTGCCTAATACACTTGTAGCAGCGCCACATGCACTACTATGTCAGTATCACTATGTAAAGAATGGTCCAACACCCAAATAACATCTAGTCAGTAGTGGTCTTGTGGTCGTCCCTTTCTATTGATGGTCAGAGCAGAACAGGGCTGATAAAGTGTGCAGCAACAGGTGGGCTACATCTGTAACTGTAAACCTACAAAATGCACTTATATGGTATATTTCTGATAAAATGGCCAATGTGTGTAGATACAAGGTAGTAATAAACTGTCTTCCTACAGTTTCCCTACCTGCGGGCTCTCTGTAGGCAGCTCTTGTCCCTGCCTTCTTCCTGCTGCTTACAGTCATTCACATGCCCTGTTGGGCACAGGACAATGGTTACACAAAGTCCATATTGTGTCCCAAAGCTAACAAAAGTGCTGCATTAATGAATGTAAATAACTGTAAGACACTTTTTCAAACCCGTGTGGCAGCGAAGGATAGTTCTCTTTTCCTTCATTCTTGCGCGGGACTGGAGGGAGAGCGGGTCCTTCAAGGGAGGTGTGCTGACCTGGAGGACCATTGGATGCTTTCATTTAAGGTTATCTCAACAGTCAAATGTTTTCATTCCTTCTCATGTGTTGAAGGAGGAACAAAATATACATGGCATGTCCAAAGGTTGCAGCACATGATCGTAAGGTCACAATGCCTTGGGCTAGAGGGGTATAAAGCCCCCCACATTGGGCTGTGGAGCAGATCTGTGTTCTCTGGAGTGATGGAGCTCCATCCAGTACTATTGGGATAAGTTGGAGTGATCCAGAACTGACCATCCGACATCAGTACCTGACCTCACTAATGCTCTATCAAATCCTCACAGCAATGTTCAACATCTAGTGTAAAGCCTTCCTAGAAGAGTAGAGGTTGTTACTGCAGCACAAACTCACTATTAATACCCTTCATTTTAGAAGAAATGCTGGACAGGTTTCTACTGTTGGACATTGCATACTTTCCCTGGAACCACTGTGATGCACTTTACAAGAAACAGCAGATAAAGCAACAATAGTACAAAACATACTGTACAAAAACAGTAGTACAAAAAATACTATTCAGTACAGTACAGAGCACAACTAACTACTCAAACATTAAGTACAAGACAGTAGACAATAACTTAAGCCCTTATTTGGACAGTTTTCCATGGAGAGTTGGGGCAATGCAGTTTGACCATAGGGTGTCTGTGATGTTTATGACCGATTAGGATAGAATAAGAAATCTCTGTATAAATGACAGAAATGGGAAGGCTGCTTAATTTACCTACCGCCTTCACTCCAGAAAACAGTAGAATACATCAAATCATTTAATTTAGCCATTATTTTGTTTAGCCTAACCCAGGGGTTGGGAACCCTAATGTTAAGAAGAGCCATTTTGTCCTTTCAAGAAAAATCAGGGAGCCACAACATTTTATGTCCATTTTAGCATCTTGGCTGTAAATATGTCTCAGTATGTGCTGATGTGCTAGTATAGGCTAAACAATATAAACAAAAACACAGACTTGCTTTGCTCTGCTTTAAGCTTCAGCTCAGCTATAGCTGCTTTTCTCACATCTCCAGCAGGAAACTTTTCCACAAAAGTAGAACAGTTTCTTGTAAAATGTCTCTCAACATTAGATTTTTTACGAGGCTGAAGTTGCTTCTCATTCACCAGCTTCTTGTTCGAATTTCCAGTTCCACCTAAAATGGTGCCTGAGGTACCAGAATGTAACTGCTGCACCATTTAAGGTGGAACGGGAAAATTCGAACAAGAACCTGGCGAATGAGAAACTGACTTCAACTTCAGGACTATTGAGTGTTTGACAGTTTCACGTTGCAGATTAAACATATCAGAAAACCAGCTGGAGTGATTATAAACACAAATAACTTAATTCGTAGTGACCAGCAGTCTACGCGCCAGACTTCAAGGTTAAAGGTTGGTGAATTAGCAGTCAGCATATATATATATGTTGCCGGCCCTTTCCCTAACCATTTACCTCGCTTAAGTGAATGTCATGCAGTGTCATTAGCATTCACAGCAAAAAGTCCACTTCACCGCATGAGATCAAACTTCTTTCCTGTAATTTTTACCTGTCTGAAGTTGTATATGTGAGACAGGACAGTAACATTACATACTGGCTTGATTTGAGCCATAAAGAACAAAAAGTAAATGCTTCTTTGAGTGCTTCCATATGTAAGAAACTCTTTTTTACACAGAATATGATACCATTTTTACATACTGATTTGCACAGGATTAATATAACCTGAGGTTAATTCTACTGCTCTTTTTATAAAAGGTAAAAGGAGCCGGAATCTTTACTGATGCAGGAGTGCATAGTCAGTAAAAATGACTGACATGGCATATTCGGACAGGACTAAAATCACAGAAATTTACATTACCCACCTCATCATGTAAAACTAATCTAGTCTGAATAGGGCTTTAGAAAGACAGCAAGACAGAGTGGTTACATGTACAGTCTGTAGCAACTATGATTATTTGTGTTTAACAGTGCAGACTGTAAACTATGACCTTTTTTTTGGTGAATTGGCCTTGATACCTGTTTCCATGCTAATATATACCACTAGAAAATGTATTTTATTTCAAACTCACCTGAAAAGAGTGTGGCCTGCTAATGTGGAGCAGGAAAGGCTCGTATTCCTGAGGATCATAACTCTCCAAAGACACAAATCCCTGCAAAACGTACCATTTGAGGTTAGTATATCCATTTCAGTGCTGTGACTGATCTAGAAGGTTGGTTTTTTTCTTGCTGAGTGTTTTGGTGGATTTAAGTCATGCATTTAGAACACATACAAAAACCAACAAATGTCTGTACAATGGATAAAACATAGGAAAACCATCCCAGATATACTCAATACACAACATCCCATGCATACTCATTTATCACAGTGTTACAGGGCAGAATTGAGCTGTGAATGAAAAAAGCCTAATGCTGTAGCTCGTCTCTAAACTGTGAAAGAGAGCACCTTTGCATTGCAGTAGTTAATGTAGTATGCAAGCATCGTCCTCATTGGCTCCACGCCCTCACAGCAGCTGTGGGCGAAGCGCTGCTCGACGCTTCGCTGTACTGGCCGCCACACGCACTGTGTCCAGCGCCTGTGCAGAAGCTCACGCTTCTTCAAAGCCACTGAGTCCCTGTGATCCAAGTACAGTTCCAGGTCCTACACACACACAAACAATAAGGGTGCTGATCCGGAATCAGTTTTACATATAATATTTCCCAGAAACTTTGAGAACCTTGATATGCCTTATACTGTACAACAGTTTAGTAAAACATCAAATTTACACCTTTTTCTGCCTTATAACCCAAAATTACTCCTAACACAGGCAAACATACAGACAAAATTCAGACTTCAAGAAGCTGCTATTACTGTTTATATCTTTGTGATGTACTTTAGTCCATGTTTAACAGACAACACTGAGTCATACAGTGTCAGAAACTACACAATCAACCCTGTTAGAGATTCTGAACAACTTCATACTGTTTGCAGCAAGTTTGTGATGATTTAGGCATGCAGTTAGTTGGTGGGGGTATAAGCTTCCACTGCTTTTTAGCTGCATTAGCCTCATAGCTTCAGTTTTAAAACAAAAACTTCAGACACTAAAACATGTCTTGGCTGATTAACTACATTTGGGGAAAGGAAGAAACTTGTGCACGTATGATTTGTCACTGAACTATCATTTTAAAGGGTAAAAAGTCATTTCTTTGAGATTTAATGCTTCATATGATTAAGCAGAGTCCCGCAGCCGTCTCGATCCACATACACACCTTAATGAATCCATTTTCTGTGTCCAGCAGCGGCTGTGCGATGGCGTCGGCCTCCTGTTGTTCAGAGAAAAGCTGCTTCTGTGAGAGAAAAACTGAGTTAAGTGTCTCTGCATAAGTGTCCAGAAAATGCAATTATTCCTTATCTTTGGAACGAGAGCGAAGGTGTGTTCAAAAAAGGCTATCTGGTGCATAACTGAATTATGTGGCTGTTTGTACGTTTTAGTATTGTATTGTATTTTTTTAGGATAAAAAAATCCTAAAGGAAAAGAAAAACTCATGGTAGAAACATTTCTTTTGGTTCCTGGGTTTAGGGTTAGGTTTAGGATTAGGTTTGGAAAATTGTGATTATACATACACTTACATAAACAGTAAAGTGCAAAAGTCAGAGAACAACCTTCATTTATTAATTTTCCAGTCAAAATGGCCATTATGTACATTATTCATTTTCACAACAGAAAAAAAATATAATCAGAAAACATGTATTTAACAGAAAATTACACAGGAGCCTCAACTAAACAGTTTAAAAAAAATCAGTATTTAGTGTGTCCACTCTTTATCTTATTACAGCTTCCATTATAAATAATTCCACAAAGATAGTTTTCCACCCTTCCAGCGTTCAGTCCTAGGACTTTCTGTTAAGTAATCCGGAACACATTCAGTGGTGTTGAGGGCTGGACTCTGGGGTGGTCAGTCCATCGTTCAGCTTCTTTGTTTGATGTGTCCGTCTCCTCTTCTCAGTGAGGCTCTTCTTGAACAGCTACACATCCTTTCAGACCCACAGCGCTGAGTCGTCTTCTCACAGTGGAAGGATGGACAGAAACACCTGTGGATGTTTTCAGATCTGAAGCAGCTTGATTTTCTCCTCTCTCTCAAAGATGAGAGCTTTATGTGCTGTTTATCTGATGGGGGCAGTTTTGGTGTCTATCAGGTCTTCCAGGTGGTTGTTTTGGAAATTGCTGTTTTTTGTGCAAATGGATTATCTTATATCTAATCTCCTAAATTAAAGGTGGTCTCCGACGTTTGTACAATACTGTATGCAACATTATTATGACATATAGGTATTTACATACATATTGTACAGTCCTGCTCATCATTATTGGCACCCATGAAGTTTAAGTACATATTGTGGAATATCCCCTGAAAAAATTAATCAACTGAAACAGTTTTTTGTATAGAGCACTCATATTTAAAACAAAAGAGCAAACTATAAACAACAATTTAAAACAAAAAACAATGTGAGGGAAAAACAGAAAAAACCTAAAGCTTGCTGTGACACTGGTATTGGCACCCTTTACATTAATTTAATATGGAAACAAATTTTCACTCACCTGTGGTAAATCGCAAATAATAATCACCTGTGACATCAGGGTTTTAAAAAGCCATACGTTGGGCCATGTTCATTTGTTACAATGGTGAAGACAAAGGAGCTGTCTGAGGACATCAGAAGTGCTATTATTAGCAAACACAAGACTTCCAAAGGGTATAAGGCCATCTCCAAAGACCTTGGTATCCCAGTTTCAACAGTGCGCAATGTTATTAAGAAGTTTGCCAAGCATGGAACTGTCAAGAACCTCCCTGGACGTGGGGGAAAGAGGAAAATTGACAAGAGAAGTCTTCGAAGTTTGGTGCGAATGGTGGAAAAAACACCAAGGCAAACATCCAAAGAACTGAAGGCCAACCTGGAACAGTCTGGGGTCATGGTTTCAACAAGTACCATACGCCGCACGCTAAACCATGCAGAGCTTTATGGGCGAAGGCCAAGGAAGAAACCATTGCTAAAGAAAAGACATAAAAAGGAACGACTGATCTTTGCCAAAGAGTACCTTGACAAACCACAATCATTCTGGGACAATGTTTTGTGGACAGATGAAACAAAAATAGAGCTTTTTGGCAATGCAAAGCAACAGTTTGTTTACAGACGGCGCAATGAAGCTTATAAGGAAAAGAACACCCTACCAACAGTTAAGCATGGTGGAGGATCCATAATGCTGTGGGGTTGCTTTGCTGCGTCTGGTACTGGAGGCCTTGACCGTATCACAGGAATCATGAAATCAGAGAATTATCAAGAGATTTTAGAGCGAAATGTCCTACCCAGTGTAAGAAAACTTGGTTTGAGCCGAAGATCATGGGTATTCCAGCAAGACAATGACCCAAAGCACACATCCAAAAGTACACGGGAATGGTTTAAAAGGAAAAAATGGACTGTTTTAAAATGGCCAGCAATGAGTCCTGACCTCAATCCCATTGAAAATCTTTGGGGTGAGTTGAAATCTGCCATTGGGAAAAAGAATCCTGCAAACATTCAAGAGCTTGAACAAACTGCAAAGGAAGAGTGGGAAAAAATACCAGCTGAGAAGTGCAAGAAGCTTATAGATGGCTACAAGAAACGTTTGGAGGCTGTCATCACAGCCAAAGGGTGTGCAACCAAATATTAACAAGGGGTGCCTTTATTGCTGCACATGCTGTTTATTCTGTTTCTTCTTTAAAATTGCAACATGCAAGTTGAAAAACAATGTTTTTTTTGTTGTATTACTTTGGACCTCCAATTAAAAAATCCTGAAGATATAACTTTGGTACATTTGCATTTATTTCTGAAGATATTGTACAGGTTATGCAAAAAAGGAAGGGGTGCCAATAATGGTGAGCATGACTGTACATGGGACATGTGTGCGTGTTTAATACCTGTAACTGTTTTACTGAGCAGGGAGTGAGCGTACGTGGCATGTCAGCTGTTGTTTTTGATTGTGTAACAACTCTGGTTGATCTCTGTGTTGCACTCCTGATGTACCGGCACCTTCTGTCTGTCCTTCCCCCTGATAATGACCTCGGCCAAACACCTCTAGGCGACTGAAGAAAGAAAAGGGATCGGCATCACATGACAAAACAGCAGTACTTAGCCTTTTACATAACTTACATACGTAACGTTTACAGGGTGTCGTCAAGAACAGATTAAAATACAAGCCCAAATGGGAGGCCCTCACCGTAGCTTGGAGCAGATGAGGAGGGACAGGTTTGTGGAGGAATATCATTCCAGAATCACATCCTTTCCTGACTTTGAACGGCATACCTGAAATAGAAACATCAGAAGCCAAATGACGGCATATTATTATCTGTGCTACAATACAGGGTAGAGATCTAAGAAGGTTCGAGGTGAGTCATTTTACCCCAAAGATTAGCAGTGCCCTTCTCCACCAGTTGTGTAGTCCACCTGCCCTGCACAGTTTGGTCATTCTCCTGCACCTGAGTCATCGGCACAGCCTTGGGTTTCGCTACCTGAGCCGTTTAGCTGTCCTGGAAACCGTCTAGAGAAGCAGGTTAAGCAGGTGTCACATTGCCCCAGTCAGCTTGCTGAATTCCTCCCAGCCTATAAAAGAATCAGGGACACAACCAGAAAGAAATTTTGCCTAATTTTTCCTCATCAACATGGTTTCTGCCCTATGGTAACTACCTTGGTGGGAGAAAACACCTTGATTGTATGCTAAATATCAAATTCTAAGAGCAGTATAAGATTACTATAAGACTTTTCAATCTATTTCTTGCCATTTTCATTTATTTTAGGTGATCTTATCAATCAATTTTAGCAAGAAGCCACGCCTAATACAAGTAAAAGTGCCTAGAAATAGGCTGAATAGTCTTATAACAAACTATAATGAGAAACATTAGATACAGTGGCCCTAAAAAAACATATTTGTGACATACTGGAAAATGTATCTAGTTTACTGTGTCAGGAAAGAAAGTCAAAGCAAATGATATTTATTTTATACAGACCATTTCATGACTTTCATTTGCTTTTTGGAAAAGTATTATTTCAAAATAATAGTGTGATTCTTACTGTATGCGCAGGTTTGCATCCAGGATGTCTTTGTTTACACCTGAGGTCATGACCCCAAAAATGAACAGAAGTTCACTGACACCGTTGTTAAACAAACAAACAAATACATAAACAAACAGTCCCTTACTGTCACGTGCCCACGTCTTTACAGTATCTTAAGGCAGTCTGGCTGGAGTTCTTCTCCAGTTTTCCACACATAGACTCAACCATCAGTTTGATGTTCTAAAAGACGATGTTGAAAATAACTTTTTATTCGAATTCTCCCGTTCCACCTTAAATGGTGCAGCGCCAGAATGTAACTGCTGCACCATTTAAGGTGGAACGGGAGAATTCGAACAAAAAGCTCACGAATAAAAAGCTAATTTCAGCTTCGTTCATAAAGTGCTTTTAATTTTAAACCTTTATGAAGCAACTTAACCCGTGTTTACCAGTGGTTGAATCCTTGTTTATGCCACTGTAAACCGCTTATGTCCAGGTTTTTACCTGCCAAAGTATCTTTCTTTTCAGTGTGGCGTTTGTTTGTTGGCGGTTAGTAAACGGCTAACTAACTTTGCGTTATCTGACGGAGGTTTGAGTTTTTTCACAAATTCATTTTTCATTCAGAATCAAAACACAAACACATTTATGTCGAATTCCTCGCTCAGGTTTTATGCTGCTAGCCATACTGTTAAAAACGCTAACTTTAGGTACAAACAGCAGCTACACGCTGGGAATAAAATAACTTTAAATCGCTTTTTATTAGGCTTAAAGTTACTCACTGACCCACTCCGCGTCCTCTCTCCCGCACATGCGCAGTTCCTCTCACGGCCCGTTGCCATGGCACCGTCTTAACCTAAGCCAGTTGGGAATGTTTTGGATTCTAACGAAAGAATGAATTAAAGAAATTTTAGCCCAACTTGAATTTTGGCTCATTTTTGTGACAGTAATTTTTATTTTTCAAACCCTTTTCCCTGAATAAATAAATAAATAAATAAATAAATAAATGACGGAGGTATTGATGTACATTCGCTTGGCCAGCTCGAGCCATCAAAACCAAACGTTTGGCTGGTCTAATGGTTTGGCTGGTCGACCAGCATGACCACCATGACCAAGCTGGACGACCAGTATGACCAAGTTGGCTGACTTCATGACTAGCAGGGCTTGACAAAGCTGGTCATCCATCATGACCAAGTTGGTCGATCAGCATGGACAGCATGGCCAAGCTGACTGACCAGCATGACCAAGACTGTCGACCAGCATGACCACCATGACCAAGCTGGACGACCAGTATGACCAAGTGGGCTGACTTCATGACTAGCAGGGCTTGACAAAGCTGGTCATCCATCATGACCAAGTTGGTCGATCAGCATGGACAGCATGGCCAAGCTGACTGACCAGCATGACCAAGACTGTCGACCAGCATGACCACCATGACCAAGCTGGACGACCAGTATGACCAAGGTGGATGACTTCATGACTAGCAGGGCTTGACAAAGCTGGTCATCCATCATGACCAAGTTGGTTGATCAGCATGGACAGCATGGCCAAGCTGGCTGACCAGCATGACCAAGACTGTCGAGCAGTATGACCACCTTGACCAAGTTTGTCAACTATGACCAAGTTGGTCGACCAGCATAACCAGTATGACCAAAACACTCAACCATCATGACCAAGTTGACCCTCATGGTCTAGTCTAGCACAGGCAGGTGCCTAGCCTGTCAACCATCTAGACCATCGAAGACCAGTTTAGACCATCTGAAACCAGCTTCCATCAAACTGCTCTTCCAGCAGTTCATTAGAAAAATGTGAAACTCTTTTGTCCGTGTGTGGTTTGTAGACTGTGGGTGATAAAATGTTCTAAAGATACTCCTTGATGTGATATAATATCACCAGCCTCTGAAAACTAAACTGGACATGTCCCTACCAAAAAAGAGCTGCAGTAATACTATACAATTTCTTTAATGCTGCATATTCTACAATTAACCACAATCATTTCATAATATCTATAATATTCCTGTAGTATCGTCTAATATTTACAATGTAAGTGGTGTTCACCCTGTGGTGTCCCAGCAAGCAAGCCTGAACTGGCTCTGTAGGAGCCCACTTGCAGCTTGTCTAATGTCCCACAACGAGCTATTTAAAATGAGATTTGGCTGGCTGGTAAATGCTTACCCCTTCAATGTTGGCTCTGTGCAGGCAGCCCTAATTCAGGCCTGTCTAAGTGTGGGTTTTGTGTGCCCACTGCCCATAGTCAGTCCACAGTGGGCCTGAGGGGCCATGCTTGTTGAGTATTTACTATAAATTTCTTATAGGAATACTGTAGAAATTCCAGTAATATTACTATAGCTCTTTTTATATGGGGTCTCTTAGTTAGTTACTCAAACTCAAGTACTCTGAAATATAAAGTCTTGATGCAGTTATTTCAATATATCATCAGATATAAAGCCATGCAGAAAAATAAGAATGTAATCTGTTATGATAGGATGTGCTATAAATAGCATTGTGCTATTTTTTATATATGTCTGTTGATATTAAAAATTAATTAATTTTCAGATTTTTCCGAAGTGTCCCCTGACAGCAGATAACAGTGTTATTATTACTATGTTTTCAATTAATAATTGAACTACAAGAAGTCTGGGGACTCAAGGCCCACACCCCAGGCAGGTGTTGGCACAAACAACATGAACAGTGTATGATAGAATGTTCTGGAACTAGATAACTAGCTATGTACATAGTTTGTATGAGTACTGAGAGTCCAGTGCATCTTTATCAGTAACCTGGTCAAGAATGCTTATCTTGGATGGGAAAACAATAGACCTTTTTTTACATGACCTTAAGAGGGGTCAATTCCAATCAAGGCAAGAGGGCTAGTGGTAGTGCAGTATGGATGATGTGCCCCATGTCATGCAGTAGGGGCCCTTTTTATTTTGTCACTCCTGCACTTCAAACAGACTGAGTCTGCCGCTGGTTCTGACCCATGCTCAGTACTTTAACTATGACTGCTGGATTTGTTTCCTAAGGAACCGACTCATTGAGCTTCTCTCTGTTACGGGAAACTGATTTCTGTAACTATGGAAACACAGACATAAACCTGAAACTAATGGCTGGTCTGTTTATCTATAGCTATTATGTACAGTATGTTTTACCTGTATTAATCTAACATGGTCAAACCTACTGCTGTCAGAGTGGCAGATGTTTTAGTAGCATCCACCAGAGGGCGCCATCTCTCCCTTATTGCTCTAAAAGAGATTTTGTGATGCAGTCTCTGAGTTTGGCCCACAATCATGTATAAAACATGTAAGAAGTTTTCTTACTGTTGTAGTTGTTTGTCTTCACTTCTCTTTCTATAATCTGACCTACTGGAGGGATAAGTTCTCGTTACACCTCCAGCTATTATGTTGGGTAAGAGTGAGAAGCTCTGGTTAGTGATGTAGGGAAATGCACAGATTAGTAATAAAGTTACAGACGAGTAAGCCCATTCTTTAAAATTCAGCATTACTTTATTTAGATCAACAATGTATGTACAGTCTTTGGCGTCTTTACTCTACTTTTCAGGAAGTTAATAGCAACATTCACTTCATCACAGAAATGTAAGAGATGACAGGACCCCCTTCTGGCTTCAAGACTGAGGGGGAAAACGGATTCATACAGGCGATTAATGAGGAGATGCATTTACTTATGTTACAAACAGAAAAACTTTCCCAACACTTGATTTGTTGCACCTGAAAATCACTGAACAGTTCAACTGTGATGGAAACGATGATGGCTCTAAACATGGCATGATGCCATTATGATATTTACACCCATTCAGATGAATATCCCTGAAAACTGAGATGAAATAACACATAGTTAGTGAAACCTGACACTTCAGGAGCAAAACCTCAGCCCAAATCTGCACTAATGTAAGTTCATTCTCAGACTCACACTTTTAGCAAAACACTACACACAGTGTTTTTCAGACCACTAAACACACCTTTCATTACATTAGACACAGAAATCTAACATGATGTCACTTTTTTGCCATTTAAAGGCACTGCCTTTCAAAATACCAACACCTGTGGACCAACTGATCAAACATGGCCATCAGGTGATCAGACACTCAGGTCTGTACAAAGCACCAATCAAGTGTAAGCAATATAAAAAAACGTAACAGGTGAGTTTTTTTAATTCATGCTTTCTTTTTTGTCTCCATGAATGTTTCTGCTGTGTTTATGATATATATATATATATATATATATATATATATATCATATATATATATATATATATTATAATACATTCTATTTAGAAAATGTTCTTTTCTGAATTTCAGTGCAAAATGCAACCTTTGGAAGTGCATGGATGTAATGACTGATGTTACAATGTGGAGAGGAATGAAAATTTTCAGCAGTGTGCAGGTTTGGGATTTAATGGAGTACAAGTATTGGGAGTAAATATTTAGAGTACAGAAATAAGGTATTTGCTTTCAGTCCAAGTTACATTTTGTAAAGGCAGTTTTTAGCGTAGTTACTTTTTACATATTTAAGAAAATATTTTAGAATACTTTTCACTAAATTTGAAAAAAAGAAAAATCTTCAAAAGAAACACTATTGATGCTTGTTTTTTTTTAAATCAGCGCACAGCATGTAGAAAACATGCTCGTTAGATGAACACTAAAGAGGGTTTCTTTACCAAAAGAAGCCTGAGTAGACTGATAAATCAGTGTGATCAGTTATTAATCTCAGTGTTACTGAGCTCTGCTAAAGCCTGAGTAGACTGATAAATCAATGTGATGATCAGTTATTAATCTCAGTGTTACTGAGCTCTGCTAAAGCCTGAGTAGACTGATAAATCAATGTGATGATCAGTTATTAATCTCAGTGTTACTGAGCTCTGCTAAAGCCTGAGTAGACTGATAAATCAATGTGATGATCAGTTATTAATCTCAGTGTTACTGAGCTCTGCTAAAGCCTGAGTAGACTGATAAATCAATGTGATCAGTTATTAATCTCAGTGTTACTGAGCTCTGCTAAAGCCTGAGTAGACTGATAAATCAATGTGATCAGTTATTAATCTCAGTGTTACTGAGCTCTGCTAAAGCCTGAGTAGACTGATAAATCAATGTGATCAGTTATTAATCTCAGTGTTACTGAGCTCTGCTAAAGGCTGAGTAGACTGATAAATCAGTGTGATCAGTTATTAATCTCAGTGTTACTGAGCTCTGCTAAAGCCTGAGTAGACTGATAAATCAATGTGATCAGTTATTAATCTCAGTGTTACTGAGCTCTGCTAAAGCCTGAGTAGACTGATAAATCAATGTGATCAGTTATTAATCTCAGTGTTACTGAGCTCTGCTAAAGGCTGAGTAGACTGATAAATCAGTGTGATCAGTTATTAATCTCAGTGTTACTGAGCTCTGCTAAAGCCTGAGTAGACTGATAAATCAATGTGATGATCAGTTATTAATCTCAGTGTTACTGAGCTCTGCTAAAGCCTGAGTAGACTGATAAATCAATGTAATGATCAGTTATTAATCTCAGCGTTACTGAGCTCTGCTAAAGCCTGAGTAGACTGATAAATCAATGTGATGATCAGTTATTAATCTCAGTGTTACTGAGCTCTGCTAAAGCCTGAGTAGACTGATAAATCAATGTGAGGATCTGTTATTAATCTCAGTGTTACTGAGCTCTGCTAAAGCCTGAGTAGACTGATAAATCAATGTGATCAGTTATTAATCTCAGTGTTACTGAGCTCTGCTAAAGCCTGAGTAGACTGATAAATCAGTGTGTTTTAGGTGTTTTAGATTGAGCACAGCAGTGCGTAACTGGTTCAAACAGAATCAGA